CCAGAGAATTTCCCATCAGGCTTTTAGCTTCTTCCCACCCCTCTCCCTTCCCCACATACCACCACAGAGAAATGGATCAAATGTTTATGAAACCGACGACATGACGGGCAGCAGAACAGGCAGTGCTGTGCTTATTTCGTGAATAATATTATTTAAAAAAGGAGACAGGACAATAAATCAGGTATAAGCTTTTTCTTTCTTTTTTTTTTAGAATTTAAGCTTATGAATTTATCTACGCCCACTATATTCATAATTACAATTTAATATCTGCATACAAAAGCTATGTAAAAATCCATTTTTTCCCCCAAATATACAAATTTTCTTTTTGGATAGTTTAAAACATTTTGATCACAGATTTCAACAGAGTTTGAGGCTGAAAAAAACAACAAAATTTATCAATCTAGCAATATCACTTAACACTGTTTACAAAACCAAAAAAAAAAAAAATCTTCCGACGATGTAAGTCTTCTTCTACTCGGTAGCATTTTTCTGATACTCAGGGCATGAAACCATTAGAGAGGGGAAAAGTGTTTTCTCTGAAGAGAGCACGGAGAACGAATTCGGTTCTATTCTCAAACTAAAGAACCAAGATCAGAAAGAGATGGCATAAAGCCTGCTCATTCATGCCCTGATAGATGGATTTCTTCTATCAACAATACCTGTGTAATTAAATAAAGTGTCGTCTTCTGTCTTACGTTGTGCTCCATAATTTACATGAGTATCACCTGCATCCTGAGGGTTTATATCTGATTGTCATTGTGCAGAAGGTGGGTAAGCTGTAACTAGGCAACAAAAAGCCACACACAGCACCTTACCTGTATGCTATTGCTCTTGGAAGGTGCATTTGCTCATGTGGAAACACATTAGAAATGCACGCACGTTTTGCATTTACAAACATTTACACAGCACAGGAAAAATTCTGTGACAAGGCCAAACCTTTTTTTTTTCTCCCCTTAGCCTATTTTTCCTTTTTTTTTTTTAAAATTTTTTGTGTTTGTGTGTTTTTAAGATGAAAGTAAAATATTTCAATTGTAAAAAATACACACCGGGCAAAATCCTTACCTGGGTAATAAATATCTACATCACAGTACAATAAAATTTCTTCTCTATAAAATTTAAATATGGATTATTGTCTACCGCTATCCAAAGAAACACTAGGCTAACATTTCCGTATTATTAAAATAACAAGGAAAAATGATGAGCTTATTTGAGAACCTGATGCTATAGCCATTGCTAAGGGCAGAGAGATTGAAATGTCATAGGTCTCCCTCCCATGTGGCTTCATCATTCACAGACCCTCAGTTCATGAAAAAGGTTTCGCCTTATAAATGCTGGCTATGTTTCCAAAACCCTAAGACCGATTTCATAATTTATGACTCATGCAGCAAAAGGTCAGTATGACACGAAGAGTTGAGAGTTCCGGGGAGGAAAGGAGGATCATGCTTTGAGGGAAGTCAGCAGTTCCACGAAGGCTGAGAAAGGGGTGTAGTGTTGACAGAGGGCCAAGGCTTGCAGGTCTGTTCACAGCAGGGTGAGGCGGGGGCACAGCCAGCGTGGCCGGTCCGCTGGAGCCTGTACCACAGGCTGAGGGCGTCACTCAGGGTCGAGAGGAGGGGGCAGCACTGGGCTGAGGCGTCAACACGTCTAGTGCGTCACTGAGGACAGAGGCTCGTTGGACTAGAAAAAGCTCTGAGGTGGCACGTGGTGATTTGAGCAGAATCGTCAAGAAAGAAAGATCTTTTTTGTTGTTATTATTTCTTTTTTTTAAAAAAGCACTATTTCTGGAAATACTGCACATCTACACTGAAGAGTGAAGTACACTTGAGGGACACACACACACAGACACACACGGACGCACACAGACACAGACACACACAGACACACACACACAGACAGACAGTGACAGATACATTACCCCCCCCCCATCTCCAAATGCTCACCAATGGATGGCAAAGAATCCCAGTTGTGTTATATATTCTATTGGGAGATCTCCCCACTATGGGGAATGGATATGAAGGGGGTGTCTCTGAAAGTTTAGCTAGAAGTAGGAAAGAAAAGAGGAAAAAACCAGAGTAAATCCCTCATGAGTGAGTTTTATGAGATGGAGTTCTGAGATGTTCTCTCTAGGGACCTCAGTCGGTTACACAAGGAACGAGGTCAGTTGATTTGACGGCCAGGTCAGGATTTCTTGAGTCCTGGCCTTTCCTGTCCACTTGAGTCCACTAAAATTCGTGTAACAAGGATTCAGTCTCCCAATAACTTCTCTGAGCCTGTGACTTTGTCTGTTTGCAATAACCATTTTAAAGTAAGGGCTTAGGGCCAAATGGGATTTGAGACTGGCTGGGTGGCTGGAGACATACCGGATTGCTTGGTCCATTTCCAGTTGTAGTTAATCCCCAAAGCATCCTGATTTACCTGGAGAGCAGCTCTGGGCTTCTCTTTTGGATGTGGGTGTGTCTGACATACGAGCTTCTTTTGTCAAACCAGGTGAGGAAGGTTGGCTGGGAGGCCAGGGATCCTCTGGTGCTCCCCACCAATCCTCCTCCTCACTCACTCCCTTCTAAGGACAAACTCCACCACACCACCCCGCCTCCGAGTTACCCTGGCTGGTGGATGTGTGGTCCTGTTTCAGGGCAGTTCTCCGGGGAGCGTCAACAAGGGAGCTGAGATGTTAGCAAAGAAAGCGCTATGGAGAATGGATAGAAGGTAACCAGACAAAGCTACCCAGGAGTTCCATGTGGGTCATTTTAATCTCACCACCGGCTGCTTCTCTGTGGATGGTCAGCAAGTGCCACAGACATGATGTTCTTGCCTCCTTCCCCCCAGAAGCCAGCATTAAGGCTGGGTAACGTTCTCCCAGAGGAATTCAATCACACCTGGGACTTCCACCACCTCCACCTCTCCCTTGGTAACGGTTCACGTGGCAACTCTGACACTGTGTGGAAACCAACATGAAACATGCCTTTTGTAACCGTTAAATTAGGGCCACCCTCTGGCCTAATAAAGCTAGAAACGTGAATAGGAAAGCAAGCATCAAAAGGAGGAGACTGTCGCTCATGAAATTCATACAGTACCAAGGGCTTGGAGACCATCTCATGCAAATGAATCACTCAACAGGCTAGTAAAACCAAGGCCCCAAACAACACAGCCACCAACAGACAGCACACAGACGGGGATTTAGGCACCCTGACTTCTGGGCCACTTATGCTCCACCAAACCGAAGTATAAAAAGTTTGTCAACTTGGTTTTCACAGTGACTTACATTCCTTTGTGTTTTTGTGTTTGTTTTTTCTCGGTGAACCTCACTGATATGGCTTAATTTCCCCAGAATCTCCAGGGTAAGGCAGTAAAAGGCAAAGGAAGAGTGTGTAGCTACGATGCCAGCAGAAGATGAGGTACATTCAATTGCAGGGGGACGTTCTTTGCCCATTTTCCGAAGCTGAAGTGATGAGTGGGTCACCATCTGTTTGGTGGGCACGAGTTACTCCAGCGTAAGGGAGGGTTTTGGAGAGGCGGGGAGAGAGTGTGGTACACACACGTGGGCAAAGGTGGGTGATTGGGAGTGACCAGCAGCTGTTTTGTGGGAAGAGATGTGGTCGTCGGCTTCTGTAAAGATTACAACATTGGAAACCCCATGGGACCATCTTGAAGGGTCACTACAGGCCAGAAGGGACTTGATGGCAATGAGAAGTCATAGCAGAATATGCCAGAGAGGATAGAAGTGGGGCAGATGGGGCCAATAGTCGGACTGGTATTTTCTGTCTTTGTTTAGTGAGCGTCAGTCTACCTAATGCTTTGGACTCAGAAAACGGGAACCAGAAAACATCTGTGAATCAAGCACAGAGCTTGAAAATCTAAGCTGGGACCACCAGTCCCTGAAATGACAAAGTGGCACTTTCCTTCAACGAAAAACCCCACAAAAACAACCCGTACAATTGTAATCGCACTAATTGCTCCTCAGAATTCTCCCAGAATGACACTCAAAATTTCAGCTTGTTAGCCCTCCCTGATTAGCAGAGCTGGAAACAGGGAAATCTGTTGTCAGCTCCGCGAAGACGCAATCAGAGCAAATGACTTGTGGAGCCGGGGTGATGGCAAAGCAGATGTCACAGAGATGTGACAACCTCCTGTCAGGAAGTTTGACTTGGGTGGAAATTTTCTCCAGGCCTGAACTGTCAACGGAGCCTTCCTGCTGGGAGGTCAACACAGTGGGAATCTTGAAGTTTCTCAAGTTGGTTAAGAATTTGTATTTCTGGGGGCCTCACTGACAAAGGTTCCCCTCCCTCCACTTTGCTGGTCTCAGTCAGTCATCTTTGTATTTATTTACTCACTACTCATTGCCATCAAGCCTGGACTGACTTGCAGAGGGGTCTCCACTGGGTTTTCAGAGGCTGTAAATCGCTTGGGAGGAGATTACTGGTATTTCTTCCATGCAGCAGCTGGTGGATTTGAACCATTTGCCTTTGGGTTGGCAGAGCAACTCCCCACCCACCAGAGCTTCCTTACCCTTGAATAATGTGCATTAAATCCCAGGGTGATAAGAGTATTAAAAAGGACGGCTAACTTTACAGGGCACAAATATTCTTGTGCAGGTAAATGATGCTTCTAGGAGAAAGAAAAGGACTCCCTGAACAGGGAGTCACAAATCTGCCTGGACCTCCCTCCACAGAGCTGAAAGCCATGTCTTAATCAGAGGTGCTCTGGGCCCTGCTAACTGGAGCCATGCAGAAATCAGGACGGGGTTAAGATGACAGTATGTATCTTGGTTTTAAGGCGTCTTTAGTCTTCTACCTTGAGTGGCGCAAAGGGCTACGCACTTGACCACTAGCTGCAAGGTTGGTGGTTGGAAACCACCCAGAGAAGTCTGGTGCTCTGCTTTCGATAAGTCACAAGGTTAAGAAGCCTAGGGATTGGAACTACGCTGTAGAGCTGCACGCCCCAGGCCAGACTTGACTGGACTGCAGTTCACGAGGCGGTGGTCTTCAGGCGGTGCCGTTCTGTTTGCTGGGTTTCTGATCAGGGACAGTGAGAGCTGCTGATGGCTTGCTGCTGGTAAGTTAATGATTGGTCCCCACCTCGTGCCCACAACAGGGAAAGCCTTCACCTCAAAGGACCGGAGAACAAAACGCAACAGCTGCAAGTACCCGCATTCAAGGGGCAATTTCATCCATGACTACGCCAAGGGCTACCTCTCTGCCTCCCCCCTCCAATAAAACCCCCCAACACAAAGAAACAAACGAAAAGAGCGAGGCAATGGAATGAAATGACACCCGGTAGTGCTGTCGGAGTAATTGTGTGATGGATCCAGTCCGTCTAATCCTCGAACACTTCCAGGAATAAAGGGGGGAAGAGTTCCGTGGGGCACTCCACCTTCATGTGCAGGAAGCGGCTGGCGTGGCAGGCGCCGATCATCCGCAGGTCTGTCACCTTCATCAGGAGTTTTGGCCAAAAGTGTGTCACGTGGTGTTTGCGGTAGTTGATATAGTGTTCAAAGGCCAACAGGAAGCTGTCTTGGTATTTCTCTATCCTTTCAACACACGCGAGCCCTGGACGATCTGAGGCGGGAAGAGAGAAGACAGGGGTTGACTCAGGTGTGAAAAGGAGAAGTGCTGCCCTGAGGAATGCAAGACTTGGGCAAACACCTCAGTGTTCAACCATGAACCGCAAGGTTGGAAGATCAAGTCTAAGCGAGGTGCCTGGGAAGAAGCCCTGGCAATTTATGTCCAAATACCAGTCACTGAAAATGTCACAGAGCAAAGCTCTCCTTTGAGTCACACAGGGCTGCCAGAAGTGGGAATTAGCACACAGGCACCTGGTCTGGTTAACAGGACAGCAGCACATCTGGGGACTGTTATGGACTCTCAGTCTGGAGCATCGATGCAATCTGTGAGCCATGGGGCGTCAGAGACCAGGCTCCCAGGGGAAGTGTGTACTTCTGAGTTTCCACCAACCACAGCTGACCCCCCAGTGGGTTTTCAGAGGCTGTAAACTGCATGGGAGGAGACTGCCAATCTTTCTCCCGTGGAGCTGCTGGTTGTTTTGAACCGCAAGCCTCTGGACTGGCAGCACAGCTCCTTACCACCAAGCCACGAAGGAATCAGTGCTTTGCTCGGATACGTGGCTTTGGTTTGGACAAGTCACTCAGCAGGTGTGGCCTCCCTCGTGGATGAAGCAGGAGGCGGCTGAACAGAGCACTGAAGGGCTCTGCACAGGAGGGGACGGCTTCGAGTCTGTACTGGTCGCCAGGAGAGAGAGTGGAGGATGGGAGGAGACAGGAATAGAAAGGGGAAGATGTGAGAGGTAAGAACCACCCAGGACCTGGAGCCAAAGGGCAAAGGCCAGAGGTCAGACATTCCCTTTAAGATAAAGGGACACAGCACCCAGTGTTAACTATGGGGCAGGCTGTGACGTACCAAGCCTCTCTCCATACCTTTTGCAAAATTACTACCCATTACAGGTCTTTAAAGGAACGCTTGTGAAGTAATGAAGAGTGTGGCTGCTAACGCAAAGGCTGGCTGTTAGAACGTGGGACCCAGCTGCTCTGTCCCTGTAAAGTTTACAGGGAAACCCTCTGGGGCAGGTCCTTCTGCCACATGAGGTCCTTACGAGTCAGAACCAACTCGATGGAACCCAACAACAACGGATACATGGGCGTTGGTGGTATCGTGAGACATAAAAGAGAACAGAGGTGATTGGCACTGGGGTGACCATTGACAGAGAAGAGACTGGCCATAATAGGAAGGGAGGGCAACAGTGAACTTTGACCCCTGGGATCCTCTCACGCCATCGGAGGGCCAGCGGTGTGCCCTCTGTCAACACAAGTCAGCATAGAGAACAGATACACAGGTAGGTGGGAACATTCAAGCTATACACACTTAGGTCACACATGTTGCCGTCACAGACCGTCATGTCGAACCGACTCATCGTTGACCCTCCAGCGGGTTTCCAGAAACAGTAAATCGCACGGCGGCTGATGGCCCATCTTTCTCCCACAGAACAGCTGGTGGATTCGAACCATAAATTATTGGGTTGGCAGCACAACTCCTTACCATTAAGCCACCAGAACTCCCATAGGTTATGAAGGTAATTTATAAACCTTGATGGTCATTTTACCTCCATGAACTTCAGACATGGCCTTCTAGTTCTCCTCTGGTTTATGCTTCATAGTTCCAATCTAATCAATGTCCAGCTAGCTAGAAATCAAAACTGTAGTTGTTGTTAGGTGCCACTGAATTGAGTAAGATGCATACTGACCCTGTGAACAATAGCGCTGAGCCCGGTCCTATCCTGCGCCATCCTCACAATTTCTGGTATCTTGAGCCCACTGCTGCAGTCACAGTGCCGATCCACCTAGTTAAGAGTCTTCCTCTCTTTTGCTGTCCCTCCACCTTTCCAAGCATGATGTCCCTTTCCAAGGAATAGCCTTTTTTAGCAAAAAGCCTGAAGTTTGTGAAACGAAGCCTTTTCTCATCCTTGCTTCCAAGAAGCACTCTGACTGCACCTTCTCCAAGATGTAACTGTTTGTTCTTTTGGAAGTCCATGGGATAGTCAGTATTCGAAATAAGTTTTTCCTGATGTTAAAAAAACCCATCAGTTGTCCGTGGTTTCTTGTACCATGGTTGCTTGTTTGGCTAAGATGTTGGAAACGATACCACCAGTATTTTAAATACCAGCCAAGTCACTTATGGTGGACAGATCTCAGTGGTGCTTCCAAGATAGGCTAGACCAGGAAGAAAGGCCAATGATTTATTTCCAAAAGTCAGCCAAGGCATCACAACAGAAAAGTGTCTTAGATAACGTGGATGGTGGGCCCTGTGGAGGGAAGCACTCTAAATACAGAGTGCCTGCAGCAGTGGACCTGGGCATACTGATAGTGACCAAGATGGCACAGGGCCAGGCAATGGTCTGTCCTGTTGGATATGGGTCACCCTGTGTACAAGCCAACTCCATGGCAACTAACAATGACAACCATCTCAAGGTCAAGGCTAATGGCTTTGGAATCCAGCAAAATACATGTTGTTATGTGCCGTCAAGTTGCCTGTGACTCATAGCGACCCGATGTACAACAGCCCTAAACCCTGCTCTATCCTGTGCCAATCTCACTGTCTCTGACACACCTACCCCCATTACCCCAGTCACTGAATCAATCCACCTCATAGAGGATCTTCCTCTCCTGGGCTGTCCCTCCACCCTCCCAAGCATGACATTCCTCTCCAAGGACTGGTCCCTCCTTGCAACATGTCCAAAGTATGTCAGACAAAGCTTCAGAATCTTTGCCTCCAAGGAGCAGCCTGGCTTCACCCTCTCCAGGATGAACCTGTTTGCTCTCCTAGCAGTCCATGGTACATTCAATACTCTTCTCCAGCACCACAGCTCAAAGGCATCAATTCTCCTTCTATCCTCCCTAGTCATTGTCCAACTCTTGCATAGCAAGTGATTGCAAAGACCATAGCCTGTATCAGACGTACCTTAGTGTCCAGAGAGACACCATTGCTCTTCAGTACTTTGGAGAAGTCCCTAACAGCAGACTTTCCCCATCGCAATACGTCTTTTAATTTCCCACCTGCTGGTGCCAAGAGTGTTGATTGTGGAGCCAAGCACACTGAAGCTGTGAACAATCTCAATCTCTTCACCATCCATCCTGATGCTGCCAATTGGTCCAGTGGTGAGAATCTTTGTTTTGGAATTCCTTAATCACTTGAAATGGTAGTTTGTACATTTTCAATCTTGTGATGTCATTTTTAGTTACAGGGGCTGTGGGGTGTCTGTCTCCCCCTTTCTCCTTGCCCCCTTTCCTCTCTCTGTGTGGAGGGTTCTCCATGAGATGAACTTTTGTTCTAAAGAATCAACATCCTATTTCTCTGGACATAGTCCGTCAAAGGGAAAAATAAACCAGAGGTTTGTGGCATTGACATTCTGTACTTCGATGCAAGATAAAGATGAGGAGATTTAGAGAAATGAACTAGAGAAAATGAGCTGACAGATGATAAAATTTAACGAAACATGTTCTGGGTGATTAGCCCTTGCATGACCAAATGCACTCCTCTCCAGGAGTGCTTTTTAAATTTAGTTAAAACAGTTCCTCTTAAAAGATATGAAGTCCTAGAGAAGGTAGGGTGTTCACCCAAAGTCACATAGGTTGTCCTTAAATGAGCTACAAGTTTTAAACCTTTAAGCACAGATATATTTAGTTAACTGTTGTTAGAGGCTGTCAAGTCTATTGCAACTCATTGCGACCCCAAGAACAACAGACCTGGACTCTGTCCCATCCTGTGCCATCCTCCTCAATTCCAACACACTTGAGCCCATTGCTGTAGTCACTGAGTCTCTACCTTTGCAAGCATGATGTCCCCTTCCAAGGAATGTCTTTTCCTAGCTAACTGTTGTTGTTGTTGTTATGTGCCGTTGAGTCGCTTGTGACTCATATTGACCCTATGTACAACAGCCCTAAACTCTGCTCTGTCCTGTGCCAATCGCAGTGTCTCTGACACTCCCATCCCGATTACCCCAGTCACTGAATCAATCCACTTCATAGAGGGTCTTCCCCTCCTGCGCTGTCTCTCCTAAGCATGATGTCCCTCTCCAAGGACCGGTCTCTCCTCACAACATGTCCAAAGTATGTTAGATGGAGCCTCAGAATCCTTACCACTGGTTTAACCCTTTCCAGGATGAATCTGTTTGCTCTCCTAGCAGTCCATGGTACATTCAATACTCTTCTCCAGCACCACAGCTCAAAGGCATCAATTCTCCTTCTATCCTCCTTGGTCATTGTCCACCTCTCTGATGCATAACAAGTGATTGCAAAGACCATGGCCTGTATCAGACGCACCTTAGTCTCCAGAGAGACCATTCTTTGGGAAACATTACCACTAAACTTCAGAGACATTGGTCCCAACATAAGGAACTACAGCAGCTGATGTGATTGGAATCACAGAAGTCAAGGAAGCTTCATATATAAGCTATTAGATCAAGGGCTGGTCAATGGGAGATAGATGTGAAGGGAGTGGGGAGAAGTGGATGGGTATCCTGGTGGATGGTGGAGCAAGGAAATAAGTGGGTAAAGACACGTGTGCCAAAGGCAGGGACAACACTGACACTAATGGTTAACTCCACAATAAGGGATATACCTTTCACTTTTTCTATAAAATGGTGGTCTGTCTGATACTTCTTTAAATCTGAACATTCAGATTAAGACAGACTAGGAAGGATTGGCCATCCACTTCTGACATAGCAGGCCTCTGAAAACCTATGTGTGTATCCTAGCTAACTAGGGAGCATTAATGATCCAAAAACCCCTCATTGTACTATGTCTGAGATTTTGTCTGGATATTCATCCATTTCCTTAATAAACCTCTCCTGAACTCTTGTCAACACCGGTCTAGGTTCTAGGTGTCCAATATGTTGTTGGAGCCACTGAATTGGCTCTGACTCATGGCGACCCCATGAACAACAGAAGAAGACCCTGCGGCCTTCTGTGTCACCCTCACAGCCTCTGCTGGCCTGAAGCCCAGGATTGTGTCCCCTCTTACTATGTTAGCTCTTCCAAAAAACAGAGGGAGAGACAAGCAAACCAGCAGAGAGCTGCAAACCAGTGTCCTAAAAATGCTCTGAAAATGAAGAAGACGGCCCTGGACATTGATTGCTCTACTTCAAGACTGCTTCTTAAAGATGTGACATGTTTTGCATTTCTTAGTCATTACGATCAGCTCCCTGCAGGGAATAATGTTGGCTTGACTATGATCCACCTTCTCCCGATGGAGGTGAGAGGTGTTGAGAATGTGCCAAAGCTGAGGAAAGCTGGTCACAAGCTCTTCCTCCTTCCTTCCATCTGGAGGGGGACGGCTGAGTCTGGACCAGCCCTGGCCTTGTTTGAGTTCACGGAATGGCCAAGGCGCAGGCCCCAAGTTGTGCAGCTTCTGCTTTCCTGGGCTTGCAGCTCTCCATCTTGGACTGAAGAGTCCTGCAGGAAATCCAGCCACTCCACAGAGGAGAGGCCGTCCAGAGACACGGCAGGGTTGTGGAGGGTGGTGCAGCAAGAGATAGCCGACACTGTCCGCTGAGCCGGCATCAGATTCTGAAGCTCACTCTTGGTGTCTGGCATACTATTCAGGCATAAGTATCCTCTATCCCTATACAATCTGTCTACTGAATAAAAAGATTAAAGAAATCAGACGTTCTGAACATCAGGACCAGAGAAAAACCCATCAACAGCCTGCATTATGCAAATACACAACTATGCTCGTAGAAAGTGAACAGAACTTGAAGCACTTACTGCAGGAGCTCAAGGACCAGAGCTTTCAACACGGATTCTATCTTGACATCAAGAAAACAAAAATCCGCACAACTGGACCAACAGGCTACATCATGAAAGATGGAGAAAAGACTGAGCTTGTCGAGGATTTCATTTTACACCATCAGCACCTGTGGTAACTACCGTTGCTGTACATTGTGGAGTCAGAACTGACTCACAGCTGGCCCTCCGGTGGGTTTTCCGAGGCTGTAAATCTGATGGGAGGAGAAAGACCATCTTTTCCCCATGTAGCAGCCGGTGGACTTGAACCCTGTGCCTTTGGGATTGCAAATCCCAAAGCGGAGCAGCTTCTTTGAGGAAATCTGCTGTCAGGGACCTTTCTACAGATCTAAAAAGCAAGGCTATCAATTTAAAATCCAAGGTGTACCTGGTCCAAGTCATAGTATATTCAGTTGCTTCCTGTGCGTCTGAAAGACAAGGAATAAGGATGACAGAAGACTAAGTGTGGAGTTGGCGAAGAGGACAGAATATTTCACAGATGGCCAGAAGAACATGCAAATCCATCTTGAAGGAAGTGCAGCTGGAGGGCGCCTCAGAGGCATGGGGGGCAGCTGCATCTCACTCACTCCGGGCACGGTGTCTGGAGTAAGCGGTCCTTCGAGCGGGACACCACACTGGGAGAGGGGGAGGGTCAGAGCAGGAGAGGGAGCCTCTGCACAGGATGGACTGACACGGGGACTGCACCCTGGGCTTGGGCAGCACGGAGGTCACAAGGATGGAGCAGGATGGGTGAGGGTCAGATCTGTTGGTCATAAGGTCACCATGAGCGACACTCATCTTGTTGGCACTTAACTACAACAACAACAACAACAACAACAACACATGTAAAATCAGGAGACAGGCTTGACGGACTAACATGAGATGGGGAGAGCAGTGCCCACTGAAGGTGGAGTATTTCACGGACTCTGCCAGACAGACGGCCTTCCTGACCCCATCCCACTCTCCTGGTCCACTACAAAAACAGCCGATGTCTGATGTCCCCGTCTCCGTTCTCAATTCATGGCCAACACCTTGATAGCTCACTGAAGGACGGCGAGCTACCTTTCACTGACGCCTTTTGGAGTCAGGGCACAGACTGACGTAAATAAGGCAGTAACTGCACCGAGGTCAGAGGCTCAGGGTTTGGGTCCTGGGGTGATTTTCTATCAATGGATGAACCTGAATTAGAAGGCATGTTCGCGCTCTTGCACTGGAATGCAGTAGGTGTTGAACCTCCTCTGGCTGATGGCAGCGGTCAAGTTCACATTGGGCTGACTGCCCCGTGGTGGCGAGGAGGACACCTAGGAGCGAGAATGCTGCTGTGTTAGAGGAGGTGATGAAAATTTGATAGAGTTCTCATGAGTCAAAAGCAAAATGAGACTCAGGCCACGGTTATTAGGAATATGACGTCTCCGGTCAGGTTGCACAGAACTGCTTGGTTAACTGCTGCTTTTATGGCTACTAGTCCAGACCATCAGCGTGTTATGAGAAAAGAGGTGACTCTTCTACTTTCTCTGCCCATAAAAAGTGGGACACAGGGCTGCGGGCTGTGGCTAGAATTATTACAGTGATTAGAGAAAGCCAGGAGTGTTTAAAGCATGGATGATGGTTGGGATCATAATGAGAATCCAATCTAGGTTGTGTAAAGAATAAAAGGTATTCACCACAGCAAGATAAACAATCCAATTGAAAAATGGGCACAGGATAGGAACAGACATTTCACCAAAGAAGACGTTCAGATAGCCAACAAGCACATGAAGAAATGTTCAAAATCCCTAACTCTAAGAGAGATGCAAATCAAAACAACTATGAGATATCATCTCACCCCAGAAAGAATAGCAAAATTTAACAGAACAGCAAGCAACAAATGCTGGCAAGGTTGTGGAGAAACTGGAACCCTTATTTATCCTTATTGGGAGTGTAAAATGGTGCAACCACTCTGTAAGGCGGTATGGCACTTTCTCAAAAAGTTGGAAATACAAATACCATTTGACCCAACAATTCCACTACTAGGAATTTACTGTAAATAAACCATAACCATCACTCAAGCAGATATATGCACACCCATGTTTAATGTGGCTTTGTTCGCAATAGCAAAGAGCTGTAAACAACCCAAGTGCCCATCAACAAACGAATGGATGGAGAAGCTCTGGTATATTCACACAATGGAATACTATGCTGTACTGAAAAACAAGGAACTCATGAAATATACAAAATGGGTGACCTTGGAAAACATTATGCTGAGTGAAATATCTCAGTCACAAAAGGACAAATATTGCATAGGGTTACTGTTGTACAATGGGACTGACATCAAGGTTGAGGGAAGACAGAGAAGGAGGGGATGAATGATGTATACTGCATTGAAACAGATGAGGAAGACAACTGTTTAAAAGGAACATATGATTGGGTATTATTGTCATTACAGAAGTCCAGAATGAAGGCTACATACTCGAATGGATTTTGGAGGAGGGACTGTATAACAATGAAAGAGTTTTTCTTTTCCTTTTCAAAGAGAAGAATGTACTGGTGGGGAGGGGGTGGGCAGGGAGAAAAGTGCAGCAATGAATGACAGGAAACTCTATGTCTCTGTAAACTTTCATTAAAATTAATAAAACAAATAAAGTTACTGGTATAAAGAGTGATAAGCACCAATTGGAGATGAGGGCTGCTCGGCTGGAGCCGACACACACGGCCTCTGGGCTGGAGAGGAATATGCAGGCAAACTTGCAGGAGACTGAAGTACAACTCTGAAGCTAAAGAGAGACTGACAATGTGTCAGGTGATTAGAATTCGCACTGGATATGCAGCTCCAGGGACCGATGTCTGTGCGTACTCACCTGAGGACATCAGCAGAACAGCCTGCAGAAGGGCCACCTCTGTGTCGTCCAGGTTGAACGAAGACAGCGACATGCCCAGGTCGAAGATGGCATCCGACACCACCCCGAGACCCCCGTTTTTCAGCTGGCCCCGCGTCACGGCCATCTCCCCGTTGAGGGTCAGGGTCTCACTTTCTGGGTCATAGCGCACGGCGGCACGAAGGGACATGATCTCCATGCAGCACCCTTTGAGGAGGATGATCTGGTCTTCACATGGCAGCTGGAAAGAGGCAGCCACGTCAGCCAGGGCAGGGCATATGCAGGTCAGCGTGTGTGTGCATGCAGGGTCTAAACCCCACAGAAACCCACTGACCAACACTGCCCAGGGTGGGGAGTTCTTTGACACGGTGACACGTCCCCTCCCACTTGGCCAGAGGCAATCAGGAGCCATCTTTTAAAAAATGTTTAAAATCGTAATAGTTTGACCATTCAAAGACTGCATTTTATAGTCTTTCATTCACATCGTATTTCGTTCATGTATTTTATGGGTCCCCTACCTGCACCATCCATCTTCCTGATACTGCTTTCGTCACAGCATGTAAGCCAGTAACTTTGTGCTTCGTGCCCTGATACCTCCCGTGTAGGCTGCCAATTTCTGACTTGCCCAACCCTCTCAAGCCAGGACTCTGAGGGAACAGGCGTGTCTCTTTTCAGCAGCCACCTGTACTACTCAGCTGCAGCCGTTTTCAGCACAGAGCTTTGCATTTATTTCCTTTCTCTTTCTTCGAGTTGTGATCTGAGTGAAAGCTTCCAAGGCAGACAGTTTTTTCATTCACACACTTCCCTGTTTTTACAACATTCATGACGATATCCTCAATGTAACTGCATTCTCCCCACTCCCTCTCTGTGATTCTCATTTCCATTAACCCTTCTCTTTCTGCCTTCAGGGCTTCCTCCTTTGGCAACTGCTACGGTTTTGACCTCATATGGTTGGTTGTTCTTAAGAACTAGTTCCTCCCCAGAGCTACTGGTCACCTCAAAGGCCTGTCTATTGTTTGCTGAGAGCTGATCTATGGGCTGTTTTGTTTAAGGTTCAACAGATGTTGGGATGACAGAGAAGTCATCATTTCAGAGTCCCACTGATCTTCATTTTTAAGACTGAATTTATTAAAAAATAATTGATTTCCATCATATAATAATTTATAAACATTGTGTTTTGTACATGTATTTTCATTTTATAAAATAATTCACAAACTTTTTTATATAATTATCATTGCTCTGTACTTACTATTACCCTTTCTTTTCAAGTCCCACTTGAACTTTCTCTTTTACTTCACCCGCTGCCCCATGCACTAATTTTTGTTATGTCAGTGATATTTCCTCTCTCCCCCTTTTTCTGCCTTCCTTCTCTATATATTGCCAAGTTATTATTGTTTCATACTTTCCTTACTCTGGTCCCTTTGAGGATGGGCACCATCTAGTTCTTTTGATCTCACGGACATAGAGGCTGAAGCTCAAGTGGTCCATTTGTTTGCGGTTCTTTTATGAGAGAGATCAATCTCCAAGTGGTATTGCAGTCATGTGTGAAAATGAGTTATAACCTTTTAGCTTGAGGTGTATGATAACAGCTTGATGGCTGGGCTGATGTTAAACTGACTTCTGATTTTCTTAATACAAGACACCTTGCCTGCCATACCCCTTTGCCATCAAGTCATAGGGACCCCACCGAGTCTCCACATTATTTCTGAGGATGCTAGCCCAAAGGTGGTGCCTCTTTGGCAACTCAGATCCACCTATGGCTCTTCGGGAGAAAGATGGGCCAACTCCTCTCATGCCATTTACAGCCTGGGAGAACCTGCCGGAGAGTCAGCTGTGAGTCATTTCCAACTTGACGGCAATGAATTGGAGGGCTTTTTAACCTTTACAGGAGCACTCTCACGTGAGAAGGGGCCTGTGGGGTCTGAACGGTTCACCTTTTGGTTAGCTGCTTGGCGCTTAACCTATTATACCATCAGGACTCCTTTGCCTATTTTAGTAGAAAGAAAATGTGGGCCATTTTTAATCTCATTAGAAAAAAATAAAAAAGGGGCAGCTTGTACCTTTAGTACTTACAGGTTTATAGCTTGGTTCAAAAAGAACTTAATATGCTAAATTTGCTACAGAGACCTTTTTGATCACTGTATTGTAATACTGTGTGGTCTTTATCTGAGCTATGTCTCCCTTTCATGAACACCTAGAGCTTAGTGTGAGATGCTGGCCTTCTGTGATTCTCTGTAAGAGACAGGCCAGCAATTAAAATCATCCTACTGAACTGCTGAGAGCAAAATGCTGGTGTTCAGGAAGTCTGCGGCTCGCCTCCCCTCTGCCTTTTACTCACTGGGCGACCTTGGCCATAGTTTTCATCACCTCTAAGTTAGCTGCATCTATAAACAACCTACAGATTCAGTGATTGGCGTGATCAGGGTGGGTGTGTCCGAGACAGCGTGAATGGCACAGGACAGATCAGGGTTAGGGCTGTTGTACATAGGGTCACTATGAGTCGCAAGTGACCCAATGGCACATAACTACAACAACATTGAGGGGACATCATAAACCCCATTTTTTAAAAACCCCATTAATCTCAGAAGCAGAAGCGGGCCATAAAAATTCTTAGCTTAGAAAAGTAGCCTTATCTGTCCTTGCAAAGTAAAGAATTAACTAGTGTCTACATGACACTAAAAGGGTAAAGGTGGGCAAAGTAGCCAGCCCATCAAAAGCCGACCCACATGATTGATTCCCTGGCCCACCAATCATGCTCACAATTTCCCTGCCCTGGACAGAATCACCTGGGGAAGGCCTTAAAAACAACTGTGCAGGGGGACTCGGGGCTTTTTTCTCTCGCCACCTTTCTGCTGAAGGAGAACATCTCCACAAGTGGATAAATATTCTCTGGAATAAAGTGGTTTTTTTTTTATTTGCATACATGAATTATTCTTTTGAGGGGCATCTCATGGGTAGAACAACATAAACAATCTGCTGGTTCCATGGCTTTCAAGAAACTCAAGGAGCAAGTGTGTTTCAAAAAAGCAAAGAGCACACTTTGCTAGCAAGCCCTTGATGACAGCTAGAACTACAAGACAGAAATATTTGTGTGAAAAACACTACATAGTAGATAATTAGGCTTGACCCGCCTTTGATTACCCTGCTAATTAGGATCTGTTGATAAGCCAATGACATAAATAATAGGATCTTTAAAAGAAGTTGCTAAGCAAAATAATAAACACCACACATTTTAGTTTTTGGAAGGAGAAGGATGTTTAACTAAATGTTATTATCAAAATATTTTCAAAGGTGGTTAGCTAGTGAATATTTTTGATTAACCTACCTTATTTAACCCTCACAGTAATATAATGAGATAAATATCCTAATTCCACTTGGATGCATGGAGGTGGGAGCCCAGGCATTGAAGTGAAATGTCAAGTGAGTGTGTGGTATGAATGAATGCTTCAGAGTTGGGGCTGGGGTCTGATGCTCAATCTGTCCATATTCAACACCGAGAGAATGAAAGGATGGGTTGAGTCTTCATTCCTTGGAGTCTTTGGGTTAACACTTGTGGCAGCTAAGGGAAATGCTGGAGTTTAGAATCCACTAAGAGGTGCTTCTGAAGAAACTCCTGGTGAATTCCTTCCAAAAACCCAGCAACTGAAAACCCCTGTGGGACACAGTCCTACCCTGGCCACACGTGGAGTCACTGTGTCCAACTGACTAGACCCCGACTGTGGAGGTGGTGGATTCTGGGGACCATGATGAAGCCGTCAAAAAGGATCTTAAAAAGAAGGCTTGAGAGCAGTGACAAGTGATGACAGGGGGCTGGGGACGTGCTGGGATTGTGCTTTGATTTTAATCTCGATGCTGATTAGGTGGGGGTGTGCAGTTTATGAAAACTCTCTGAGCTGTGTTTTTATGAAAGGTGCTTACTCTTTGACGAAAAATAAAATGAAGAGAAAAGGAGTTTCATACACAGAAAGCAGATCACGCTACAGTCTCTGGCTTTACAGCTTACGATGGTGAGTCAGTAGGAGTTGAACTAGACTCAATGGCAGTGGGTTTAGAACATTCTAAACACGACATTCATATATTCCTTATTCTGACTACAGCAATGATTATTATGTTAAGGCTTATTACTTAATTTTCTACCATATATATTTGTCTATCTGCCTCTCTCTAAATATATGTATACATATATACATACACACAGAGAAATATTTGAGAAATGACTGTAATAGTTTGGGTTTTTTTGTTGTTGTTGGGCATTGTCGAATCGAAACCTCCACTGGGTTTTCACAGGCAGTATATTACATAGGAGCCTGCCCATCCTACCCGAAGGAGCTGCTGGTGGATTCGAACCATGTACCTCTGCACTGACAGCTCAGTGCTTTACCACTAGGTTACTAGAGATCCCATAATCAACACGAAACATGGGAGGAGGGCTCTCTCGGCAGTGTTCTCATGGGTCATTGGCTGTTTTCATGATGTTGGATAAATCTTCAGTGACTATGATATCCATCAGAATGACAATAAAGGATAACCTTAAAAGATCATGTTAGGGGCGTGAGTGAGGGGTTCCTGGCCGTGTCAGGCACTCTGGCCCCCACAGTGAGGCGGAGGCTGAAGGGAGGCAGAGTCTCTCTCTCTCTGAGGCCTGGCACCACAGTGTTGCCCTCCTGGATAGGGAGTTCGTGGAGGCTCAGAAGCATCCCCACCAGTGTCTGAGTCCAGCTAAGCTGCCGGTATTATGAAATCAGGCAGAGAGTGAGGCGGGAGTCATTCCAGTGAGGAACGGATCATCTCTGAAGGTGAGAGCAGACTCTTATCACCTGGTGGCTTAGAGAAGAGACTCATGGCAGTGTGTGGTGTCTCTCTGCATCCATTTGGAGGTGTGAAGAGCAATAGATTAGTGTCTCCTGAGGTTTATAAAAGGGAAAACTTTTCCAGATCATGTAATCAGCCCCCACTGATTCAAAACAGGGAGGTGAGAGGCAGCATAAGAACGACAATAAAGAACAGGCGTTCAGATGCGTGAAAACACGCAGGACCCTTTTTTGTGACGCAGGCGCTGAGCCGAGCGCTTTACACAGGTTGTCCTGTTTAATTCTCCCGTCAGCCTCACAGGGAGGTGTGATGACTCCCATGTTAAAGGGCAGATAACTTAGGTCTGCACACTTTCAATGACTTCTCTGCAGTAGGGAGTTGCCCAGTGAGGACCCCTGTCCCTCTAGCTGCCTGGACAGCCTGTGGTCTCAGCTATCACACGGCAGGGCTGCTACTGGGGGTTAGGGGCCCCAAGGTAAGAGTGGGTCCCCTCTGGTGGGGAAGGCTGTCCTGAAACTGGACTGGGGAAGGGTGAGCTTCTAGACATGAGGCCAGATTTAAGGAGATTGTGAGAAAAGTTTTATTCACTGGAGGCCCCTTAATTTATTCTTTTTTAAAATTTTTAAAATCCACCCCCCATAACTTATTCTTGAAGTTTAGGCCCCTTACCTTATTATTTTTTAATTTTTTCCCTGTAACTTATTCTTGAGGGTTAAAAATGACCACATAGTCATCCTAACGACCACTGGTACCAATTATGGTACCATATTTGGAAAAAGTTAAATTTTTTCTCTGGTCTTCATTTTCCCCATCTGTAAAATGGGTTGATACTAGCTAACTGAAGATCTGCTGTAAGACTTAGAATTATGTGAGCAACATTGAGCCTGCTGGCTGGCACACAGTAACTGCTGATAAACTGCTGTTGTGTATTGTTGAGTTGAAACCCACCCGGAGCTGACCCTCGGGGGGTTTTTAGAGGCAGTAAATGGCCTGGGAGGAGACAGCCTATCTTTCTCCAGAGGAGCAGCTGGTGGATTTGAACTGCTTACCTTCTGCTTGGCAGTACAACTCCTAACCTCTATGCTACCAGAGTTCTCTGGAAGTTAGTTTTCCTATTACTTCCTTACACCTTGAGTTAGGTGGGTAGACTGGACCTCGATCACCTTCACGTGGACCAGCTAATGAATGGTGACTGGATAAAGAAGATGGGGAAATGCAAATGAAACAGGACTGCCTTTTCATTTTACCCCGACATTGTTTCCATGTGACTAAAGCCCTCCTCATGAATATGAAATGGTAAACAGTACCCAGCATTCCTGGAAACTGGTGGAGCTGTCATAAACACCAATGCCTAAGGAAAAACAATTTCCTCACCTCACAAAACATAGGCAACTTTTTGGCAAAATCCACCACTCTGGTAATTGCTGGTGTGATGATTTTTGTAAAATGGCTGAAGGCCTCCAGGTCGACCTTCCCTCCTTCTGGGGCATTGACGATGGGTGCCTGTCCGATATCTTCAGGCTGCAGGGGGGGAAGAAAGCAGAGAGACTCAAGTGAGGACGCTGCAAGGATCTCACGCAACAGAGAGTGTCTCTGAGGTGACACATCGTCTGTGGGGAGCTCCCACGTCCCTGATCGCCACGGCTATTGTTCTCGTAGCCCGGGATATGATGCCCACAGGGCTGCCAGAGAGGAGAACGTGCATGGGAATTTGGGTTCTGCTTCTGAACACACAAAAGCAGGGCATTTATGCCAGGCGATGTCTATGCGAGGTGTTCTGGGATGGCATTTCCAGAACCCTGCATGCTTTCAGTGTCTCTGTGTGAGAGTAGACACATGTGGGTGGAAGGAGTTATGGGGGACCCTTGGCAGTGCCTACTGGCTCCAGACTCACTTCTGGCCCAGCTCCTGGGGTCCAAGCTCCTGTCTTGAGGTTGAGGTGGTCTCAATAGCCTGCGGAGGGCAAGTCTTAGCTTCTACAGGAACCCGAGTTGTGGAAACCTCAGGATAGTGTTTAGGTGACGCGGAGTCGGCTCTTTGTGCAACGTGACCCTCTGCACAACAGAAACCTGGCCTGGTCCTGCTCCATCCTGACCATCTCTGCTGTGCCCACGCCCACACTGCTGCACTCACCAGGCCAGTCCGTCTCACTGAGGGTCTTCTCCTTCTTCGCTAACCCTCCACTTTTCCAAGAAACAGGTCTTTCCCCAGGCAGTCCTTGTTATTTAAGGCAGAGTCAAGTCAGAACCGACCCACAGCTCATCCTCCAGTGGGTTTTCAGAGGCTGTAAATCACGCAGGAGGAGACGGCCCTCCTTTCTCCCTTGGTGTCGCTGGTGGATTTGAACCACCCAGCTTTGGGCTGGCAGCACAGTTCCTTATGAGGCCACCAGAGCTCCCTTTCCCAAAACGGAATGGGGGATTCACTAGGGTCCAGTACTATGAGGACACGTCTACACTTTCCTAAAGGTACGACCATCAGAAGGATTCCTGCTCACCTGACCCATCTCAGCTTTCCTGACAAGACATTTCTTCACAGGAGGGAGACTGAGAAGCTTTCTTCAAAGGAGCTGCTGGTGGACTCGAACCACTGACCTTCTATTTTTGCCTAACTTTTACTTCATAGGCTTCAGTTTTTCTTTTTTCATTAGAAGCCCAAATGACTACATGTTTGCTGAAGGAGGGGGCAGGATCCCCCTAAAAATCCCCAGAGAAACAGGAGTATTTAGAAATGCTAGTGAAGGAAACAGCAGGACCCAGCTGAAAGGCTGACCTGTCCACCACACATCTGCCACACGGGGACGGCTTTCATGCTGCTGTGAGGCGGAAATCAATGCTGCTGACATGTCAGATATCAGTAGGGTCACCCATAGTGGACAGCTGTCAAGCTCTGAGATGATGGCACACCAGAAAGGCAGGCCTGGTGTTCAAGACCTGAAGGGTAGTAGATGGAAACCTTATGACTCCTAATAGGACCCTGCAGGACACAGAGCCAGAAGGTGGAACTTGGGAGACCAATGAGCTGTCGAGCTGGAACCACCCTTCAGAGCAGGTCACTTATGACGCACAGTGGCTGCAACAATGGACCCGGCACGTCACCAATCACAAAGATGGTGTGAGACCAGGTGAAGCGTCACTCTCTCCTATGTGGGTGGTCACAAGTTCGAGCCTGCACACTGGCCACTAGCCACACATACACACATATATACGTATAGACACACACACACACACACACACACACACACACAGGGGAATACAGTTCTCTAAAAAGAAAAGTATCTTAATTAACATGGGCTTGGCACCTTCGAATGCTCATCTTATCGTTTCCTCCTGACAGAGCTAATTTGATTGTATTTAATTAGAACTCTGTGTGCCCTGAAATGTCAGGTGGTTAATGCTAATGTTAATAGTGTTCATTAACTCAGGTATGTGTGTGTGATATTGAAATTACTACCTGTGGCATATCTAAAATATCGAGGGTGGGGAGGGAATGATGCAAGGAAATGAAGCAATTTTAATTAAAAGCACATGTAACAATTTTACAGATTTTTTTTTCTCTTGAGCAATAAATATCAGAACAGGAATAAAAGTTACTTTTAAGGTTTGGGGTATCGAGTGACTATAATAGAGTCCTTAGACGCAAAAACCTTTTGTTTCCTCTCAGTATTGCCCATCAGAATGGATACTGGGATGCTAGAACACATAGTTCCTAGGAGTATCTATGTACGTATGTGTTTCTTGTATCTGATGTTAACTCAGGTTAGCTACAGTTACTGAGTCAGAGTGAATTCACATTGGACCGCCCACTGGGTTTCTCTGAGGCTGTGCATCACATGGGAGCAGAGTCTCTTCTCTTGACGAGGCCTGGAGAGGTGCAACCTTTTGGTAAGCTACTCCTTTTCAACTGCATCACCACAGCTTTTTAAACATACACACACACACACACACGCGCACGCATGCACGCACGCACGCAGGCAGGCAGGCAGGCAGGCAGACACAGAGACACAGAGACAGAACAAAGAGACAGAGACCGACACAGAAAGACAGGCAGATAGACACAGAGCCAGAGACACACACAGAAAGAGAAACAGAAACAGACAATGAGACAGAGACAGAGTGAGACAGAGATATACAGAGATAGACAGAGACAGAAAAAGAGACAGAGATGGGCAGAGACACACTGAAAGACAGACTGAGAGACAGACTGACAGACACAGAGAGAGAGACACTTAGAGAGATAGACACATATCCAGACAGTGAGAATCCGAGAGACACACACACAGATAGAAGAGACAGATAGGAGAGACAGACACACATAGAGAGAAAGATAAAAGAGAGTTTGAGACACACACACACACATACACACAGAGACCTAGAGAAAGAGAGAGACAGACCGACCGACTGACAGGAGAGACACACACAGAGACAGAGACACAGAAGGAGACAGAAAGATACCGACAAAGCCACACACAAGCAGACCCAGACTCACAAAGGCAGAAGACACACACACACACACACACACACACACACACACACAGGGCAGAGACACTAGACACCCAGAGAGAGACAGGGAGACACGAACACAGAGCGGCAGGAAGACAGACAGGTTGAAGAATTCGAGACCTCGTCTAGGGCCTCAACACAGGAATGCCCAATGGACAAATTGTGGGGCTGCAGACAGAAAGGAACTGAGAGGCTCATCTGGGGCTAAATCAACACCCAAACCACGCCTGCTGCTGTCGTCTCTCCCTAGAGACCCCGCATCAGGTCACCGGGCTCCACGGCTGCACAGTTTAGTGGAAAAAGCCTGCCTGTCTCTCCCCGAACGGCTGGTAGATTTGAACTGCTGACCCTTGTGTTAGCAGCCCCATATGTAGTGCGCTGCCCGCAGGGCTCCTCCCTGGGGCAGAGGGTGCGGAACTGGAGGTTGAGGTGTGGCTCCATCTCTAGCACTGGGGCTGGGGCGGCGGTGGACACAGGTCACCACTAACGCGCTCACCGTGGGCTCAGTCCTGCTTGTGGTGAGCGGCAGCTGTTGCCTGCGGGCCTCTTGCGACGGGACAGCTCAGAGGTGGTCACTGGGCTTGAAGGCAGCTACTAACTGGTACTTTACGGTGGGGCCAGACCGGGATGGTTCCCTTTTCTCTGCTTGTCCACAGAACAAGAAGGGCCAGCTAGATGGTGATGCAAGGCCTTAGACCCTTGACCTCAAGTCCAGTCTCTGCCCATGGTGAGATGGGATAAGATGATGAGGGCCGTACATGCAGTGACCGCTGGCACGAATGCTGCTTGCCAGGCACTGCAACGTCCTCCATATCTATGACGTTTACAATATCCAGCAGGGAAACCGGGCGACTGAGCCGTGGGAAGGTGCAGTAACACGCTCTGTGCCACACAACTCAGGAACAAGTGAGGCAGACGCTCAGTCAGGCTCTCTGGTCCCCATGCCCGTGGCCTCTTCTGATGTGTGAGTATAATAATTTAGGGTACATACATCTCACCTAGCACCCTAAGTTATTACCCTCACCTCTGACGCACGCGAGCCTGCCTTTACAGTCACTGCGGCAGTCCACCTCCCGAGGGTCTTCCTCTCGTTCCCTAACCGTCCTCTTTTCCAGACGTGATGTTCTCCAAGGACTGGCCCCTTTCTAACACAACATGCCCACAGCACGTGGGACCGTCTTCACTCTCCTGGCTTCCAAACCGCACTCAGGCTGCACCGTTTCCAAGACCTAAGATCCACCTCGCAGGCTTTGAGCATGTTGCCAGGACGGGCTCTTCCTTGGAGCGGGACATCATGCTTGGAAAGGTGGGGAGGGTCAGCGAAAGAGAGGAAGACCCTCAACTCGATGGGTTGACATGGTGACAGCAGTAACGGGCTCACGTGTGTAAGAGATGGTGAGGACGGCACAGGATGGGCCAGGGCTCAGGTCTATCTTATGGTCACTAGGAGTAGCAGTTGACCTGACTGTGTCACACGGGGCAAGGTGCCTTCTTGGTTTACTCATCCTCGTCTTATGACCTGGCTGCACAGACCCCACATGGCCAGGTCCCCCCGACATAGCCAGGTCCCATCTGACATGGCCAGGTCATCTGTCTCCCTTCTCTGAGGCCAGCCCAAATGTGAGTGCATGAATGCTGAGAGTAGCTTTTCCCAGGAAAAAAACCAGGGCCAGTCCCCCTGGCTCCAAAGTTCACTACTTAAATGTGGGTGGAAATCTCACCAAAGCCACGGCTGTGTAAGTACATGGACCAAGGGTATGCAATAACAAGTCATGAGACAGCCTCGATGCTGGTGTGGAATCAGGGCCAGATCCCAGCGCTGCTGGCAGGTGAGGAGGCCACTGCCCCAGAGGAGAGACCGGGCTTTCCACTTGCCACCAGATGCCCCTTTCCCCCCGCCCCCCTCAGTCCACGTCATCGCCTCCTCATACTGTCATCACCTCACAGATGTGCTGGCAGCTACATTGGACATTTCTGTCGCACTTACGATTGGAACGAGTTAAGACAAAATAGGGCATTTTTGGATTTAAATGCATTGGGAAGTTGTTTTAAAGAGGAGCTGTAGGTTTGTTATGCGAATCAGAGTGGCTTTTGCAAATGCTCATTTGTCAATGATTTCCTGAAACTCAGGTAAAACCACTAGTTTTTGTCTGGGACCTATGTTCCACATAACCACTTCTAGATTTTATGACAATGAACATTTCTAATTCTTTATGTTGTTGTGCACCATCGAGTAGGAACCGACCCATAGCTGATCCTCCGGCGGGTTTTCAGAGTCAGTTAATGACACAGGAAGAGACTGCCCATCCCTCTCCCATGGCTCAGCTGATGGCCTCGAACCATGTGCCTTTGGGATTGCAGCACAGCTTCTTGCCACTAGGCCACCAGAGCTCCCTTATGACATATTATTACTATAATAAACCAAAGGAGACCCAGGGCTATTGAATTGATTCTGACCCATACTGACCCTCTAAGACAGAAGCCCTGCCCCATAGCGCTTTCTTTAGGGAAGCGGGTGGCCTCACTGTCCTCCCCCACACTGGTGGTTCTGAACCACCAATCTTCTGTTAGCAACTGAGTTGGTTATTCAACAGATACAAATCCTGATACACAGCAGCCTAGCGGCAAAAAGCTGGGCTGCAATTCTGAAGGCATGGAGTTCGAATCCACCAGCTGCTTTGCAGAACAAAGACAGGCAATTAAGTCCCATGATATTTACAGCCTCTGAAAATCTGCTCTGAGTCAGTTCTGATTCGCTGATACACAATAAAAACAACAAAGACATCAACAACGAGAGAAAGTAAAAGTGCTTCAATATAAGGTGAACTCATATAACGAATGCCTACCATCTTTGCATGCGAGAAGGAGGGGCAATCTCCCCCAATGTGATTAACCGCCTCTGAAAACCTGCTGGAGGGTCAGCTGTGGGTTGGTTCCGACTTGATGGCACATAACACCATCATCTAGTACTGAACAGAGGCTCCTCTTTGGAGAAAGACCTTATGCTTGGAAAGTTGGAGAGTCACTGAAAGACAGGAAGACCCTCACCTAGATGGACTGACACAGTGACTGTAGCAATGGGCTCAGGTGTGTCCAGATGTGAGGACGGCACAGGATAGAGCAGCGTTTGCACCTGTTGTTCACAGGGTCACTATGGGGCATCCTTGACGTCACCTACCTACAACAACCCAGTTCTGCATCTTTGCTACATGGATACTATTTTACGGCAGGCTGGAAACGAAGGGACGAATTGCATTGGGAAAGTCAGCTGTCAGAGACCTCTCCAGAGTACTGAAGAGCAACGACGTCAGGCTGGAGACTAAGGTGCCCCTGATCTGGGCCATAGTCTTCGCAATTGCGTGCTATGCATCAGAGAACTGGACAGTGACTAGAGAAAGATAGAAAGAGAATTGATGCCTTTGACTTGTGGTGCTGGAGAAGTGTACTAAATATACCATGGACTGCTAGGAGAACAAACAGGTTTGTCCTGGAGAGGGTGAAGCCAGAATGCTCCTTGGAGGCAAGGATTCTGAAGCTTCGTCTGACATACTTTGGACATGTTGCAAGGAGGGACTGGTCCTTGGAGAGGGACATCATGTTGGGAGAGTGGAGGGACGGTGCAGGAGAGGAAGACCCTCGATGAGATGGATCGATTCTGTGATTGGGGTGGTGGGAGTAAGTTTGTTAGAGATAGTGAGGTTGGCACAGGACACAGCAGGGTATAGGGCTCTTGTACGCAGGGTCACTATGAGTCACAAGCAACTCGACGGCGTATAAAAATAACAGTAACACCAACAACTGCTATTTCACAAGGCAATCTCTAACTCTGGAGTTTTAATGTCCTTATAGGAATAATTCCCAACTCAAAAGTAAGATTTTTTACTCTGCACGTAAATACTTAGCATTAAGCTCCTGTGAGGCCTTTGCGTAAACTTGCAAACTGACACAAACAGCAGGGCTTAACGGGACTGTCGCAGAGGATGGGCCGGTGGAGTTCTGTGTTCAGTGTAGCAAATATTCAGTGAATTCCATTCTGCTTATCTAGGGAGCTCTGGTGGTTGAGTGCTAAGGAAGTGCATGGCCAGTGCAAAGGTACATGGTTCGAATCCCCCAGCTGCTCTGCGGGAGAAGGATGAACAGTCTCCTCCCATGAGATTTACTGCATCAGAAAACCTGCTGGAGGGTCAGCTATGAGTCAGCTCTGACTTGATGGTACCAACAACACGAAGTTCTGCTAATCTAGTTCTGGGAAGCAAAGCATCTCAAGAGTGAGTGATTTTTAAAAAAAATTTATTATTTTTTTTTTTTTGTGTGTGTGTGTGTACCATCAAATCTGATCTGACTGGTCCAGGAGGAGACTGTCCCTCCTTCTCCAGCAGAGCATCTGGTGGATTTGAACCACGCACCTCTGGGATTGCAGTGCAGCTTCTTTGTTGTGTGCTGTTGAGTCGAAGTGACCCATAGTTGAGCCTCTAGCAGGTTTTCAGATGCTGTAAATTGACTGCACAGAAGGAGACAGCTTTGCATCTAAAGTCTCATCTGAAGACTTCAATTCTAGGATTGTGTTAAGTATACTCAGCAACTGAGAGAAGGAATGGTCTATGAAAGGAAAAGCAGGCGCAGATGATGTCACTAGCTGGTTCCTTCAGAGCTGGCCTGGTTAATTTATAAAAGCAAAGCCCGAGTTAGTGTGGCTCAAGGAAGGGCTTAGGAATTCAGTGGACTGGAACCAGGAGGGCCCTGGTGACGACTTGGCCTTACATGCTCTCTCTCTGCAGGCTATTCATTGTCTTCTCAGAGGCAGCACTGTCTTCTCTCTAAAGTGGGGGCCGTGAGCCCACACTTGGGGCTCTCTCGAGGCCCCAGTGGGTGAGGGAGAGGATGGGCAGCTGTGCCCGGGGTCTTACCAGGAATTTCCGCTTCTGCTTCCAGTGGCTGCCCTGCGCGTTGGTGGCCACGTGGGCCTCGGTGACGGTCTTGATCAGCTCCCACTCCTCGTCTGTGGGCTCCGGCTTGTGGCCCATGGATTTCTGCAGCTCCTCCCGCCGCCGCTTCTCTCGGTTCTCCTCGATGAGCTTCCTCTTGGCCAGCCGCTTGCTGTCGTCCAGCACCACTATGCGGGGGAGAAGGATGAGAGAGGATGGAACAATACTCCCCCAAATGTGGGGAAGGACAGCGTGCTGGGAAGGGCGGAGGGTCAGTGCAAGGGGCCCCTCAAGGAGACGTATTGTCATGGCGACTGCACCAATGGGCTCCAGTGTGTCAGAGATGGGTAGGCCCGCACAGGACAGGGCTCAGATCTGTCCTTCACAGGGTCACTATGAGCAGTCAGCTCATGACGAGAACAACATGGCATCTGGTGGTCAGGGTGGAGGGGTAAAGGGGAGCCCACTCCTGCTGAGACTGGCCATGACCAGCACTGCCCAACACACAGCCCTGGGATCAAAATCCTGAGGTCTACCTGGCTCTGGTGCCTCAGTGGTCAGCAGCTGTGCTGCGAATCAAAAGGTCTGCGGTTCGAATCTAGCTGCTCCTTGAGAGAAAGACGGGCCATCGCCTCCTGTGAGATTTACCGCCTCTGAAGACCCACGCGAGGGTCAGCGATGGGTCGCGTCCCACTTGATGGTCCTTAACAGGAAGCAGCTGGCTTTTCAGAAGAAAGTCCTGTGTGGACTTGGACACTGACCCCCCCCCAATTTGACAAAAATAAACCCCCCAAGACCACCACTGCCATTCAGTCCTTTCCGGTTCAGAGTGACAGGGCAGAGAACTATCCCTTTGGGTTTCAGGCTATAAATCATGACAGAAGCAGATGGCCTCATTTCTCTCCCAAGGAGCAGCTGGTGGGATCGAACTGCTGACCTTTTGGTTGGAAGATAAATGCTTCAACTACAGCAGTACCAAAGCTCCTAAGTCCACATGAGGTGGCCCTAAATCAATGGGAAGATGAGAGAGGTAGAATCTAGTATCCCCCGCCCCCCACTCCCCCAGAACGATGTATCTGCCCAGTGACCACCTGGACTCATTCTGGAAATTCTTTTCCTGCTATGGCCCCCCAAATGCCTCTCAATAAGGAAAATGGAGCTGTCCTGCAGGTGTGTGTGTGTGCGCGGAGAATTGGTGTACCTGGCTGCTACCAGAAAGCCTGCAGGTGACTCGAAAGAAACGCCTGGCAATCCACTTCTGCAAAGCCAGGCAGCAATCACCGTTTGAAGCAGGAGATTCTACTGATACAGGGAGGTTGCTACAACACCGGCATGACGGTGATTGGTTTTGTTTTTAAACATAGACTTTATCGGTAAATAAATAGTCTTCAGTGACCAGTGGGAAGCTCAGAGTCCCCTCTGGGACCCCAGAACCTCAACTCTGCATGGTCCCCTTCCAGGTGTAGCAGCTTGGGACTGGGTCCATCTAGGACCTTGTGGTTACTCATTTTTCATTTTTCCGGGTCAACCATTTGCCAGTGGTTAAAATCAATATATGATTAAATATTATTGTCATGACAGGAGTCCAGAATAGAGGCTGCACATTGGAGCAGACTTGGGGGGAGGGATTGTATAACAATGAAAGAATTTTTCTTTTGCATTTCAAAGAGAAGAGTGAATCGGGGAGAGGGGTTGGGCAGGGAGAAAAGTGCAACAGTGAATGAATGGAAACCCTAAGTCTCTGTAAACTTTCATTAAAATTAATAATAATAAAAAAAAATCCACGCTAGAACCTAGGTTCTCCGGAATCTAGAAGGACTTGGGGTTGAGCCCTGACACGACCTCGGTCTGACCGTGTGGCCTCTGCTAAGTGACGTGGACACTTTGTGCTTTCATTTCTTCATAAAGAAGAGTGACAACCTCCAAGACAAACAGCATTCAATGACCGTGTACCTGCCTCACCGTCTGTGCAAAGGGGAAATAAGGAAGGAGGGTAGCGAAGACACTGTGGCAAATTTCCAAAAGAGTCCATTTCTCCAGATGCTGCGTAACTTATCAATGGGAAGGAAAGGAAGACGTAGACTTCTAACAGGAAGAAAAGAATCATTACATCTTAAATAAATGGATTTAACTGGATAGGCAGTCTCGTGAGTTTCTCACTGTGGATGACACGAGGGAGCTCCAAGAAGCCATTCCGAGTCACTTCGTAAAGGCAGAAGGCTTAGTGACCCTCGCCGCTCCCGTGTTGCACCTGTGAGGCAGGCACTCCTGCACCTGCCACACATGGTCTTTACGGAATCCCGAGGACAGCCCCCCACCCCCCGCCCCGTGACAATTTATTTAGGTACGTGGTAATTTTACAGGAAGGGAATTCAAATTGTCACAAAGTCTGTGAATGGAAAGGGAATGAAAGTTTTTCTGATGCAAAACGTGACCTCTTAGAATGCAATGCAAATAAGCACAGTGCATCGAATTGGATCAACACTGACTATATTACCTTCCCAGACGCACGCATGTTTAACATCTCAATGCAGTAATGAAACAGCCGCTATGAAGAGTTTATGAGTGGCATGCTGGCGTTGCGGTGTACAGCAGAGTCGGATGTGACCCAGACAGACTCGCCAGTGGGTTTTCTGAGGCTGTAAACCACAGAGGAGGAGATGGCCCATCTTTCTCCTGTGGAGACTGGTGGATTCGAACCGTCAACCTTTGGGTTGGTAGCACAAATCCTTGGATACCAGAGCTACCCAAGCATTTTCATGTATCCACAACAAGTTGTACTGCCAGTAGGGGTTAAGCCTCTACAATAGGTGGGCCAGGTCAGAGGTGGGCCTTAAAGTGAGGAATGACACCCGTCTTAAGATTCCCCCTTCTGACATTTTTTATTTTATTTTTTCATTTTTATTGTATTATTTTTACATGTACCGTCAAATCAGATCTGACCGGTACAGGAGGAGATTGTCCCTCCTTCTCCAGCACAGAATCTGGTGGATTTGAACTGAGTACCTCTGGGATTGCAGTGCAGTGTCTTGCCACTAGGCCACCAGAGCTCCCTTCCTTCTGACATTTTGAAATGGGAAAGCCACATCTCAAAAAGTTGGAAACAAATCCCATACCCATGAATGTCTAATCTTCCCTTCCCTTCCAATTGTCCTTCATTTCTACCATTCTAGTGTAGTTTTCATTATCAATCAATTATTTCCCTTCTCTCTTCTCCCCTGTGTTCTTCCTATTTTTAAAACTGTGGTCTTGTGCAGTATTTTTCCTTATGTGACTGAAATATATCATCCGGTATAATATCTTCCAAGCTCACCCCTGTTGTGTAGCATTTTATAAGTCCATTGCTGTTTTCAGTGTTGTGTAATATTCTATTGTGTGGATGTACCACAGTTTTTCTATCCATTTGTTTAGGATGGGAAGTTGAGCTACTTCCATCTCTTCGCTATTGTGCATAATGTTGAAATAAACATGGGTGTGCATACAAAAAAAAAAGTTGGAAACAGAAATACCATTTGACCCAGCAGTTCCACTATTGGGAATATACCCTAAGGAAACCATAACCTTGAAGGAAGACAGAAAAGGAGGGGAGGAATGATGTATATTGCATTGAAACAGATGAGGGAGAGAACTGTTTAAAAGGGATATATGATTAG